TCGCCCCCGTCTCTCTCGTCTCGCCCCCGTCTCTCTCGTCTCGCCCCCGTCTCTCTCGTCTCGCCCCCGTCTCTCTCGTCTCGCCCCCGTCTCTCTCGTCTCGCCCCCGTCTCTCTCGTCTCGCCCCCGTCTCTCTCGTCTCGCCCCCGTCTCTCTCGTCTCGCCCCCGTCTCTCTCGTCTCGCCCCCGTCTCTCTCGTCTCGCCCCCGTCTCTCTCCCCTCGCTCCCGTCTCTCTCCTCTCCCCTCGCTCCCGTCTCTCTCCCCTCCCCCCTGTCTCTCTCCCCTCCCCCCTGTCTCTCTCCCCTCCCCCCTGTCTCTCTCCCCTCCCCCCTGTCTCGCTGTCCCTCTTGCTCTCTCACATTCTGATGGCCTTGGTCCGTTGCTCATTTTTTTATTCTCTCGCTCTTGCTGCTCACACCATACCACCACCACCCACCACCAACACCCCCCCCCGACCCCCCATCCTTTACCTCGATTTCTCCCTCTCCCCTTAAACTTAGTTCTTTAACGAAGCTTTAATTGTTTTGTCCCAATATTAGTGGTATCAGATTTCCTGTTATAACTTTGTGAAGCTCTTTGCAGTGCTTCAATGTGTGAGCAGTGCTGTATAAATATAAATTGTTGATGTTTTGCCTACTGCTTTCCTGCCATTGCTCGGGTAATCCTTGAGAAAGAGCATGAAGAGGTCAGCGAAACAGAAATTGCTGAGAGATCTTTCTGTAGATCGAGAGTTGGCCTGCTTGGAGGGCTGCATCAATGACTTTATTCCCAGGGAAGGAAACAGTCAGAAAAGCTTGCAATGCAGAATTTACAACATCTCAACATACAATTTGGCCTTATTGATCTGTGATTCCCCACTTTGAACTCCCTCTCTGGCTTTGTGGGTCTCCCTGCGGCCTTGTGGGTCTCCCTACAGCATATCGACAGCATTTACCACCACTGCCTCAAGGGCAACTGGGAGGCATTTTAACATCCATGTAAGTATACAAGTTCAGAGTAGGGCTAGGCATTTTTGTCCCTTTGAGCCTGTCTGCTGTTCAATAATATCATGGCTAATCTGATTATTTTTTGTTTTATTCCTTCGTTTTATGTGGGTGTCACTGGTTAGGTTAACATTCGTTGCCCATCCTGAATTATCCAGTCAATTATGCTGCTGTGGGCCTGGAGTCACATGTAGGCTAGACCAGGCAAGAATGACAAATTTCCTTCCCTAAAACAGATTTTTCGAACCAGATGTGGGTTTTGTACAACAATTGATAGTGGTTACACAGTCACCATTAGGCCAGCTTTTTGTTTAAATTCCTCAGCTCTGCATTCCCGTACAACCTCATGGCCAGTCTGTACATGGGCTTCCATCACCTGCTATTGCCAATCTCTAAGGCCGGTAGAATGAGGTTCCTTGTGAGTCACGTTAGATATAATGCTATCTCCTCATACTTTCACTGAGAAAGTATGTCACAGCTGCAGGAGTCAGAGTACCTGCACCTTACTATTAGCATCGTCATTCAGGTATTGTTTGGAGAAAAAATGATGGTGAATCAAGAATTTCTTGCTGAACGCTGACCACGATCCATACCCTTGTAAGAAACTGCCAATTTAAGATTTGTCTTGCCTGAAGAAAAATGAACTCTGATAGCCCTCACCTTCTTCACTTACGGAAGTTTCCTTCATCGTTATACCCTGAAGGGTAGGCATTTTCATCTAAGTAACAAAGAGTGTTATATTGTGTGTTACAGAGCCTACCCCTACTGAATTTCATACACCTACTAATCACTGAGCACACTGAACAATTCCCTTGGAGCTTGCTGTTATGCACTATATATTGTGAGGAAGTGTCAATGACACAGATTTATGTGATTGCCAATATTGTGAACAATTAGCCTATGTTTCAGTAGTTATCTGAGTTATCCAACTTCCAGCATCCACAGTTCTTTCAGTTTCTTGTCTGAGTTGACCTTGTTTCCAATCATGTGCTGATATCCTTCCTCTCCAACTCCAGGCTGCTCAGAAAGTCCTTAAAGCTGCCAAGCAAATCTGCAGCCGGCTTGGAGGATACAAAATGGCCTTTGCTTGGGCTGCGAGGTCAGTATCTGTGCATTGGATCCATTTGCAGTTGCAGTTACCTTTCCTGAAATGTTCTGAGTGAAGAAATTACACCTTTTCAGCACCATTCCATGCTCCTAGGACGTCCCAGCGAATGTCACATTCAGTGGCTGTTTTGTGGGTAGTTGGCAGCATCTAACTTGTATCACCTATTCGTTTTCTGTTGATTGAGCAGGTCATGACTCTCTTACCTGTCTCCCAAGTATTGAGTTGCCAACTTTAACATCCACCTGAACAGGCAGAGGGTACCTGAGGTGAACATTGCAGGTGCCATCTTTCTGATGGAATGCAGTGCACTGAAGGGACAGCCTAAATCATCTCTCAGAATCATAGAAACACTACAGCTATTTGCCCATTGTGTCCACACTGACCCTCTGAAGCACATCCCATCCAGACGCGCTCCCCTACTCTTCATTTCCTATGGCTAATCTACCTAGCCTGGACTATGGGCAATTTAGCTTGGCCAATCCACCGAACCTGCACATAACTTCAGACTGTGGGAAGAAACCGAAGCACCGTGAGGTAATACTCGCAGACATATGCAGAATGTGCAAACTCCATACAGGACAGTAGCCAGAGGGTGGAATCAAACCCAGGTCCCTGGCACTGTGAGGCAGCAGCGCTAACCACTGTGCCACCCCTTCTTGATGTCTTCCGATCAAGACTAATATTGAAATGTGATAGTCACCAATTTTAATTAATAGTTTAATACAATAATTTAAAAAAAACTTGCATTTATATAGAATCTTTCACTGCCTTGGGAAGTCCTGAATTATTTAACAGCTAAGTACTTTACAAGTGTAGATATTGTTGCAAGCATCTGATAATGATTTAGAATCATGTAAACTGAAAGTTGGAATTAGTTCTAAATATGGTGTTGGTTGTGTTTCTTTCAACTAGACCTGTGTTTAAAGACACCGAAGGCTTGTTCGATACAAGTGGGAAGTTCTCGCCCTTTTACAAGCAGGACAGCAACAAGCTATCAAATGAAGACCTTTTGAAAATGCTGAATGATCTCAGAAAGTGAGCGTTAGGTCCTTCCGGAGTGTGTCTGAATGTGAAACCTTTCATATGTCTCAAGGGGCACCTTAAGGGTAAATTCACTGCCCTGTTGGCCTGAGCCTATAAGGAGTGAGGGGAGCCAGAGGTGTTGTGGCTCTATCTTTAACCTGTGCTCCTGTTGAGCACGGATCTCACTGATGTTACAGCATTGGTAATGACAGTATCAGCTTTCTACACGTGGCTAGTGTTTCAGATTTGCTAGGTTGCTAAACTGGATGAGGAATGTGGGAAGTGGGATTGCCTGCTACATGGGGTTGTGAAATATGATTTTACACAGCCCATGGAGGCTGTGGCGTGAAACATTTACACCTGCACTTTGGAGATGCATCTACTTTTGGAATAACCTAGATGGTGATTTCCTTAGCTGCCCGGGGTTACCCACATTATTGCTCTGTGTAAACCTTGTAATATTTGATAAGTACTTGTAAGCTGGGAGATGTGGTTATCTTTTTAAGGAGCTTGTTTTTGGCAGCGTCTGACTGATCAGTTGTTATAAATTCATACAACACAGAAACAGTCCAATGCTGACCATGATCCCAACCTGACCTAGTCCCACCTGACTGCATTTAGCCCCTGTCCCTCCAAACCTTTCCGATTCATGTACTTATTCGAATATCGTTCAAATGTTGTAACTGTACCTGCATCCACCCCTTTCTCTGGTGGTTCATTCAGCACACTAACCACTCTCTGTTTAAAAGAAGTTGCCTCCCATGTCCTTTTTAAATCTCTGTCCTCTCACCTTAAAACTATGCCCCCCAGTTTTGAACTCTCCCATCTGAGGGAAAAGACTCCTGCCATTCACCTTATCTATGCCCCTCATGATTTTATAAACCTCAGTAAGGCCACCCCTCAACTTCCTATGCTGCAGTGAAAAAAAGTCCCAGCCTTTCCTGTCTATTTTTATATTTCAAACCCTCCATTCCCAGCAACATCTTGGGAAATCTTTTCTGAACCCTCTCCGGTTTAATAATATCCTTCCTCTAAGATCGTTGGTTCTGGTGTTCACAGCCTAAGTGCACTTATTGTGTGGCTGCAAAACATATTTTGTTCAAAGTAGAAATGGTGGTGCCAATACTGAGGTTGCAGCAGGGCAAAAAAAAGATATTGCTGTACTACAGGATACATTTATGTTAATATTACGAACCAAATCTATCATGCTATTTTCTAAATGGAATTTTCTGTTTAATTTAAACTATTCAATGACTGTGGCATGTCACCTCTTGAAGACTTCAATATCAGTTTGAAATGTGTTGACCTCCTCGTCCACTAACATTGGTTGGGTCAGGTCATGTCCTGGCTTTTGATGGAGCTGTGATTTTCCTGCAGGATGTTGACATGCAATTTCTGAGAATGGAAGCTTCGTATCTATATTTCCGGACAGGGTTCTGATGAGCTGCATGCACACTCCACGCACTCACTCACTCACACCACACGCACTCACACACTCACTCACACCACACGCACACGCACACAGCTTAGTGGAGAGGTTTATCTTGGGCATTGATTGTTTCTTATCACAAGTTTGATGAAGGCAATGATGCTGTTTATTGTGTTGTGCGGCGATGTTAATAAGTAATACCTTTCCCACAAGTTAACTAAGTTGGCTGGATGCATAGTTTGTGATTCAGAGAGATGCCAACAGTGTGGATTCAATTCCCACACTGGCTGAGGTTACCATGAAGGACACTCCTTTCTCAACCTCTCCCCTCACCTGACGCGTGGTGACCCTCCGGTTAAACCACCACTTGTTTTGTCTCCCTAATGAGAGAGCAATTCTATGGTCCTGTATAACGAGGGTAATGCAGTGACTCTTAAAGCATGAGAGGAGGTTTAATCTAAATGTTTCCTATAGAGTTGACCTTAAAAGCTCAGAACGCATGCCATGCTAATGAGGGTGGTGTGCTTCTAAGAGGGCAGCAAGGTTCATGGGCACATCAATCTGTGTCCCACACCCTGTGTGTTTGGATGTGCGAAAACTACTGCAAGAGTTTCTGCCTCCTGAACTTTCAACAGCCAACATTCCTCCAATGGCAGAGCAGCCCCAATGGGCTGAATGGCGTAATTCTGCTTGTATATCTTATGGTCTTATGGGTGAGTGAAGAAAGCGCTTCAGAGACGCTCTGTAGCTCCCCTTGAAGCAAGCAGCAGTGTCTTTAATGAGCAGGAGGACCTCGCTACCTGTCGCTCAGAATGGCAACAATTTGTACCCTTCATGCTGTCTGTCACTTTGAGTGCCAGTGATTTATAACTGGGGCAGAGCAGCAGCTGACAAGGACTGGGAAGAAGAAAATCCTACACTGCAGATCTCGACAAACTTGTGGAATGTCCTGCTTTGTGAGCTCGGGATCTGCAGGTTGGGAATTGGCCTGTTCAGAAACTCAATGACCTTGAGGAGACATCACCTAATTGAGGAATAGCTGGAGGTTTTGCTAACTAAGTGACATCCAGCCTTGAGATAGGACTGACAGAAATGCACTGGCCCATGTTTAAGCAGTGTGTTAGTTGTGAGTGTCTAATTGTAAAATAAAAGACAGTAGAGAGATTGACAGTTAAGATCTTCATGAAACATACCAGCAAGGTCAAATGAAGACAAACTATTTGACCCATCAGCTCACTAATTTCACAGACTATGGTTTATCCTGAGGCAACTTCATTGAACCATCTGAAGAACAGCTCCTTTCCATTTGTTCGGTTCTTTGAATAATAGAGTCTCACAATGCATTCATTATGTCTGCATTAGCTTGTTAAAACAGCTTTCTAAAAGTCTCACTTCCGCTTTTTCCCCCATAGCTCTGCATTTCTTTATCTCCTTTTCCAGCATGTTCCTGACTTCTTTCGGGCAGCTTGTTCCAAGTCATTCAATTCTGTAAACACATTTCTCCTCACCTCTCCGTCATTCTCTTACCAATTGCTGTAAATCAGTGTCTTCTCTTTTATCACTTCATCTGCCAGTCTTGCTTTTAAAAATCATAGAATCTCTATAGTATGGAAGCTGTCCATTTGGCCCATCAGGTCCACATCAACCCTCCGAAGAGCATCCCACCCAGACCCACTCCCCTACCCTATCCCTGTAACCATGCATTTCCCTGGCTAACCCACCTAACCTACACACCCCTAGGCACTATGGCCAATTTAACACGGCCAATTCACCCTAACCTGCATGTCTTTGATAGTGGGAGGAAACCCACACAGACACGGGGAGAATGTGCAAACTCCACACAATCACCCACTGAGCCATTGTGCCACCCTTGAAAGAAACTCACTGATATAGATTGTTTTTCTCATTCCTCAACTGTAACATTAATGTATAGGCCAAGAGAGGGCTTGAGAAAGGAGTTCCTCCTGAATTCAAACACATTCACTTGATACTTCAAGCACCAAAGTCAAATAACCTGGTCGCATTTTCCTGATCCATTGCTTTCAGTCATTTCAAGGCTGCAATCATATCTCCTCTCAGTTCTGCTTTTCTCATAAGTTGCATCAACAGCAAATGACCTGGAATAGACCCTTTTGGAAGCTGTCTGTACGCTCCTGGCAGAGTAAGTTGCATTTTTGTTTTTAACAATTCCTTTCTATTGCTAAGTCAGGATTTTACTTGAACCAATTAGTTGGATTCCATTAATTACTTGCGCCTTAATCTTCTTTGAACCACCCATCTGGCTGCTGACCAAATATCATGCTGAAAATCTAAGTCAATTATATCTATTTTCTCATCCACAATGACCAGTTTGGTTAACTCTTCACTGGTTTTCCAGGTGAAATATTTTGTTGTCGATTATTCTTTACTGCTGATCTGTTAATTGTGTGTTTCCTCTCCTCCTTTATGCACTTTCTGCTCGTGTCAGTCTAGCTGGAGAGTGGTTTAACAATACCTGTCGACCATTACAATGTTGGTGTTGATAACATCTGTGGGGTTATCGACAGTGTAATTGACGTTGGGATTATTGACAGCAGGGTTACAGTGAGGAAGGACCATTGAAACCCTTATTCCTTCTATACTGTCCATAATTTGTATGTTTTTAAACTAAGATGCACATTTTTCTGACCTATGTGTGTGGAGAATTCATAAGTTTTTTTCCGATTTAAATTAAGTTAATTGTTCACAGGATCACCTGAAACTCTAATGCCACTTGCACAGTCACACATAGAAACATACTCGAGGAAAGTACAGCTAAAGAGAATTGTTTACAGTTACAAGTTACAGGCAGGAGAAGTATTTCAGAATTCATGTGATTGGTGTGTCCTCCAAAACACATTGCAAGCCTAAAGAAGAAGGCATTTCACTTCTGGGGTGTAGTTTATTTTATTAATTTGTGGGATGTGGACATTGCTGGCTGGGCTAGCATATATTGCACAGCCCTAGTTGCCCCTGTGAAGGTTGTGGTGAGCTGCTGTCTTAAATCGCTGCAGTGCATTTGGTGTAGGTTGACCGACAGTGCTGAAAGGGAGGGAATCCCAGAGATTTGACCCACGACAATGAAAGAATGGCAAAAAATTTCCAAATCAGGATGATGAGTGGTTTGGAGGGGAACTTGCAGGAGGTGGTGTTCCCATGTATCTGCTACCCTTGCCCTTCTAGATTGTAGTGGTTGTGGGTTTGGAAGGTGCTGTCTAAGGAGGCTGTGTGGTTTTAGTATACAGTTTGGGGGAAAGGGTAGTTTCAGTCAAAGTAGTTTCCAGATTCTATCAAAGAGATGGTCTTTCTACAGATGTAAATATTTGTACTCTCATGACTAGTAGGTCAATTTGCTGTATTGCTGGATTCGAAACAGAGCTGGATTGGAGATCTGATGTTGTTGCAGTCTCCTACTGTGAAGGCACAGAGGTTGCTGTTCCTGCTTTATCTTTCGGCAGAGAGCACTTGAGGATGAAACAAAAAAGACTGACATGGCTGTCTTGCCTTTTCCAGATATATTGCTGGGTTTCGGTTGATTATCTCTAATCTATATTATTGGGTGAAGACATTTGCCTGGAGGGAATCTCCATGCTGGGGGTTTGGGGGTGGGGGTGGTGTTTAACTGTGGTTTGAGACAATCAGAATCCTTGTTTAAATAAGACCCATTCAAATCATGAAATGTCTTCTGGATGGACTCAGGCTATGAATAGTGGCACCACTTAGTCTGAAATGTGCCCTTTTGCCCTATGACACTGTGTGGCAGCTGTGAATCCATGGATCGAGCCAGTTCCAGCAGATTCATGGCCGACTGCAGTTCATTTTCAAGAAAAATATGAATGAGATGCCTTCATCAAGAGAACAGTAAGGTAATTGACAATAACACTGAAAGTGATGCTTACACTGATATTGACCTTGACCTTAATGTCCAAGATAATACAATGGAGAAAGAGATGTCCTATTTGATTGTTAATGGTCCTTGGCTACTTTACCAGAGCCTGTTTTAAAACTATTCCAGGAAATTGCCTTAACGTTGATATTTGTGCATTTTGTCAGCCCTGCTCACTGTTTTACATGTACTTGGTAAAGGCCTCTTGCTGTGATTCTGTATCGTTCAGTTCCAGCTGAGTAAGTGACTATGTCTGCAATTTCCCAGACTGCGTCTCCCCCAACAGCATGAAAGAGGAAAATGATAGCTGCTGGACAATTTGGGTAACAGATGAAAAACACTTCTTTAAAAAAATCCTTCACTAATTTAGCCATCCTCGTTAAATTCTACACTTTTCTGGTGTTTTTCTAAGCCTACTGTGATAACTAACGGCTTTTCTGTTTGCCTTCAAAACCTATTTCCAGGATTCTATATCTCCCACCGTATGAGATGACAGAAACTGGATATTATTATATTGAGTCTACTGAACTGTATTCTGTTTGCATTTATTATAACAGTGACATCAGGCACACTGAGAGACCCATGCACTAACTTCTTGGTCCCTCTACTGTTCACCCGATTTCAGCTGAGAGCTCTCTATCTAATATTGGTCTGACTGACTGACAGAATGACACGATCATCAGAATTATCAACTTGAACAGGCTCGTTCCTGCTTTTGTAATCTTTCTGATATCGCACCGCCTCACATTCTCCATTAATTAAGAGATTGCCTATTAGTTCTTCACAACTCCTATCAAGGCACATGGGCTTAACTGACTGGGATCTCTAGGATGTTGGAGGTCAGCCATACAGTATAACTGCCTTCAGAATGGAATTGTATTTAATACAATCAAACATTTGCTTTTAATGATAATGTGGCTGCTTGGTGTAATGTTGTATCATTTGGCCGAAGATAGAGAAACATGTTGATTGTCATTTGGTTTAGCAACCCAATCACAAATCATGGGAAGGTCGGATATTAAGTTCAAAAGAAAGTCAAATTGTATTTCTTCAGCATGGTTCACGACCTCAGTGCTCACAAGTTGTTTTACAGACAATAAAGGTATGTTTGAAGTGTGATCACTGTTGTAATGCAGAAAACACAGCTGTCAATTTGTGCAGAGCAAGCTCCCACAAAGCAGCATTGGGGTAATGGTTAAGAGATAGAGCCAAGAGCAATGAGAAATATGATTGGCTGTCAGACTTACCAATGATAGTGGAACCTATTGCTTCATGTCTTGAAAATGTAGTGGGGTTCACTGATCCTGCCCTGCCTATCCACTCAGATCTACAAATATGTCTGGTCCCACACATTGCAGACCCCAGCGCCCAATGAAATGGTCTTACCTGTAAGTGGTGAATAATTTCTATTGATTAAGGTTACTATTGAATCATGTACAGTCATTATTACATCAATTTACATTTCACTGTGTATTGACATAGGACAGAGAAGATGTCGAAACTTCAGGTGATTCCAGGGAATTTCGACGTCACCATCGAGTGTGTTCCTCCTGATATTTCTAGTGAGTAGAGCCCGCTTCCGTTTTATGTTACAAACGTGGCAACCTTTGAAAGCGACTTGACCATAAAAGCCCCACTCTTTCGGCTCATTTAGATTGTGTGACATCATCCTACATGCCTGTGAAACCATTCGAGGAGAGCAGCTGCAGCTGTGTGTCCTTCGAAGTGGAAGAATTTGTGCCCAATATCGCAAAATATATGTACCCCTTCACAGGCTTCAAGAACCACCTATACGTTTACCCCATTCAGCTCAAGTATGACAACCAGAAGACTTTTGCGAAGGTATTGTAGTCTGAATAATTGTGTGCTGAATTTTCTTGTAGAAAAAGATCAGAATTTTCTAATACCAGTCACTAACTACTTAGCTGACTGCCTATCTGTCTCTGTCTCTCTCTCTCTCTCTCTTTCTCTCTCTTCCCCCCCTACCCCCCATCTCCCAGGCAAGAAACATTGCAGTCTATGTCGAGGTCAGGGACTCTGATGGAGATAAATCGCGGCCATTGAAGGTAAGTGAGACGGCTGTCTTGGTTGACTATGCAGAGTTTGCACATTCTCCGCATGGGTTTCATCCCACAGTCCAAAAGCGTGCAGGTTAGGTGGATTGGCCATGCTGAGTTGTCCAGTGTCCAGGGATGTGCAGGCCAGGTGGGTTAGCCATGGGAAATGCAGGGTTACAGGGATGGGATGGATCTGATTGGGATGCTCTGTGAAGGGTTGGTGTGCAAAGACTCTGATCTGCAGTATAGGAACAGGCATTCAGCCCATCAAGGCTGCCCCCACTACTCACTGTGATCATGGTTGATTGAACACTTCAATGCCTTTTACCTGCCCTATCCCCATAACCCTTTGTGGCATTGGTAATCAGAAAGCTATCAATCTCTACCTTCGCACACTCCAATACTGAACCTCCACGACCCCTCTATGATCGAGAAGCCCAAAGGTTTTCAATCCTCTAAGTAAAAAAAAAAATCCTCATCTTTGACTGAAGTAGCACCCCTTTCTTTTCAAACTCTGGGTCCTGACTCTAGACTCTCCAAACAGTGAATCATCTCACCCTGTCAATCCTTTTCTATATTTTGTAAGTTTCAATGAGATCATATTCTTCAAAACTCTAGCGAAGATCAGCCCAGTTGCCCAATCTCTATTCACTGAACAGTCCTGGCTTCCCAGGAATAAGCCTGGTAAACCTTTGTTGCACTGTCCCTATGGCTATTATATCTTTTCTGAGATAAGGGCACAAAAAACTGCACTCAGTACCCCGCATGGTCTAGCCAAGCTCCTATACAATTGAAGCAAGACTTCACTACTGTGTTTATCTATGTATGAGGTGAGTGGTACTTGCCTAACAAATATAGAAGTGTGTGAAATGCTGAGGTTGTGAGTATCAAAAAGGACTGGGGACGGAATAGAAGTACAGCTTTGAGACAAAGGAACATCCATGATTGCAGTGAGTGGCAGAGCAGGCTTGATGAATGAATGACTTTTCCTGTTCCTATTTTCACTGAAGGGGATAAATTGCCGGAATTGTAGTGGAAGCAAATGAAATTTAGGAATGGGATCCCCTAAGTAACAATTCAGTGACCCCAGGCAGTAGGGTGCGGTTTTCATTGTTAGAACCTGTTAATTTCTGATGACGTCTAAGGGGATAGAGTTGTGGAATCTAACCAACACATATCTGCTTATGTGCTTTCCCATTCTAAACTGGCAATGCAGTTTGGAACAAATGTAAGTCAAATACAGTAATTATTTTCATAACTTTTATTAGTTTGATCAAGCATTTATAAAGTGCTCCAAACCTATTTGCTTTTACAAAGTGTTGAACTTTGGCTGCATGTCTAGAAAAGCCTATTCTATGATGCAAATGCCAGTAAATATATTATCATCTGTATATGTTTGGCCCAATCATTGATGTGACAACAGAATTCTTTCTTAATTCAAAGAGTGATCTATTGTGGCTTCTTTAACACAAAATGTTTCAAGCTGCTTTACATGAAAATGGAATTGACACCAAATGAAAGAAAGGAACAGTAGGGAAGGGGATCCAAAATTTGGCAATTCGGTTGATGTCAAGGAGTCTCTGAGAGGAGGAGACAGAGTCAGAGAGATCTGAGGAGGGAATCCATGAGCTTTGGGCTTTGCCAGGTGATGTCCTGTACATCCATGTTAGAAGGATTGAACTTGGAATGGTCAAGAGATCAGAACTGGAGGAATGTATTGACTGTGGACTGAGAAGGTGAGCTATAGAGGGATTTGAACACAAGGATGAAGACTCTAAAATCGAGATATTGTTGGACCAGGAGCCAGTGTGGATCAGTGAGCACTGGAAATATCCTAGAAGAAGGCCTAAACTTCCAACTTAAGGGAAAATGATGTTAAGCTTCAGCGACTGATTGCTACTTAAATTGCCATGTTTTATTAACAAAGACCTGGAACTGAAAAGTTCTCATTGAATACAGACAAGGAACATCTTACAATGAAAGTAGTGGGACAGCAACAGATCAGAAGGTAGGAGTAGTACCATGGACAAGGGAGAGACTGTGGTGAGATATGGAAAGCACTGATGGTGTTGGAGAGGCTTTGTGATATGGATCCCATGATTCTTGTGTTACATCTCAGCTTCCTGTCATTTTGTTATGATTTTGATTTTGCTAATCACTTCAGATTTTGCACCATCAAAAGATGCCCATCTTGACATTTTTCATTTGTGCAATGTGGGTGTCTTCGGCAATACTGTCACTTATTTACCATCCCTAATTGCCCTGAGATGGTTCTAAGCAGAAGTAGGCCATTCAGCCCCTCAACCTGTTCTGCCGGTCAATAAGATCATGGCTGCTGTGATTGTAACCTCAAATCTTCATTCCTGCCTACTTCAGATAACCTTTCATCCTGTTCCTCAACAAGGATCCATCTACCTCTGCCTTAAAAATACCTTAGGACTCTGCCTCCTCCCCCAGGAAGAGAATTTCAAAGGCTCTCAATCTTCTGAGAAAAAAAGAAATCACCTCGTCTCTGTTTTAGGTGGGTGATCCCTAATTATTAACTAGTGACACCAGTTCTAGATTCCCTGTTTAGAGGAAACATCCTTTCTACATTCATCCTGTTAAGGCCCCTCAAGATCGTATATGTATCAATCAAGTTATCTGTTTACATGGGGATTCCTCAGCTCAGTTGGCTGGATGCCTGCTTTGCAATGCAAGGTGACGCCAACAGCGTGGGTTCAATACCTGCACTGGCTGAGGCCCTCTCTCCTCCGGTTAAACCACCATCAATCGTGTCTCTCTAATGAGAGAGCATCCCTATGGTCCTCTGGTACTATGGCAACCACTCTTCTAAACTTCAATGAATATGACCCTTGCCTGTCCAACCGTTCCTCATAAAGTGGTAAGCCTACTATGGATGGATTTAACTGCAGTCTTAGGAGCATACACAGTGCTTTGAAGAAAGGTGCTGCAGAATTTTGAACCAGCGATCCTAAAGGTACAGCGATATAGCTCCACTCAGGAAGGTGTGTTATTTGATTGTATAATTATGGATGGTGTTGTTCCTATATATCTACAAAAAGTATAAAGTTAATGGCAGGACAGAGGGATCTTGGGGTTCAAGTCCATAGCCCCCTGAAAGTGGCCATGCAGGTAGAAAGGATGGTAAAAAAGGCATAAGGCATGCTTGCATTTATTGTTCTGGGAATCGAGTACAAGAATCAGGATGTCATGTTGTAGCTTTATAAGACTTTGGTGAGGCCACCCTTAGAATACTGTGTTTAATTCTGGTTGCCACTTTACAGGAAGGATGTGGAGGCTTTGGAGAGGGTCAGAAGAGGTTTACCATGATGCTGCCTGGATTCGAGGGCATGAGCTATAAGGAGAGGCTAGAAAAACTCTGGTTGTTTTCTCAAGTGGTCGAGGCTGAGGGGAGACTTGATAGAAGTGTATCAAATTATGAGATGCATAGATAAGGTTGATGGTCAGTACCTTTTTCCCAGAGTTGAAATGTCTTATACTAAAGGGCAAGCATTTAAAGTAAGGGGAGAAGGTTCAAAAGAGTTGAGGGGCAAGCTTTTTACACAGAGTGTGTTGGGAATCTGGAGTGCGCTGCCAGGGCTGGTGATGGAGTCAGATACAATAGGAGTATTTAAGAGACTTTTAGATAAGCATATGAATACACATAGAATGGAACGATATGGACCAAGGGCAGGCAGAAGGGATTAGTTAATTTGGCGTCATGTTCGGCACAACGTCGTGAAGAAAGTGAAGTTGGGTGTGATGGCCATTTTATTTTTCAATAAAGCTAGCATCGTGCTTATGAAAAAGAAATTGCAGCAAGCAGTGGGGACAGTAGCACAGTGGTAATGTCACTGGGCTAGGAGTCTGGACCCCCAGGCTAATATTCTGGGCACATGGGATCAAATATCACCATGGCAGTTAGTAAAATGTGAACTCAATAAACAGCAAGCATAATATTGACCATGTAACCACTGTCAATTTTGTCATTGAAAAACCCATCTGGTTGACTAATGTCTTTTAGAGAAGGAAATCTGCAGTCCTAGCCCAGCCTGGCCTACACATGACTTCAGACCCAGAGCAATACGGTTAACTCATAACCATGCTCTGAAATGACCTGGAGTTCAAGGGCAACTAGGGGTGGACATCAAAAGTCAGCCTTGCCACTGACACACCCACATCCCATGCAAGAGTGGAGAAGCCTAAGGAGAGAGTAGGGAAAATTTGGGCAGGAAGGTTGGCACCTCCTGTCTCCAGCCCAGGTAAATCCATTGTGGGAGAGTCCTCCAGCCCCATTGTCCATGGCCAGGCTGGTGAGTGCGTGGCAGTTTCTCGGAACAAGGATGAGGCTCGTTCACAGCAGGAACTTGGAGGTGGACTCTGTTCATGTGAAGAAGCTGTGTTACTGCATCTACCACGTGGTTCTAGCTGGCCGGAAATCTCTCCTGCTTTTACCACCTGTAGATCTTATAGATTAATAATCAACTTGTTTGGCCGCTTAATGGTACAATTTCCATGACCATTAAGTCCTGAGGTTGGAGATTCTGACTCTCCCATTGTGCTCCAATATCTCCTTGACTGGCTTAGGGAGTGGAAAAAATCATCTGGAGTCAATGTTCCTGGATGCGATGGATAATGACGATCCTTGGCCTTGGGGGGATGTCGTACTGGCAGTCACCTCTATCTCCTTAGTTGTGCTTGTGGTCAGCAGCTCTTGACAGCTGGGACTCAGCTCCTGGAGTCTGTGATCCTGGGAAGTACCTGCTTGGTTGTCAATAAGTATTAGGCACTTCAATTGGCAGGCCTTTCTTAAAATTAGACAAGTGTTGGTTCTGTGGTGAATGGAGAGATTCTCATGGCCTTTGTTGTATACTGCACCACACCACCACCCTCCCCACCCCCACCCCCGCCACCCCCCCTATAATAAACTGGTTCTCAACCCTGGATTGGAAAGGTTGACTCTACCTCTCCTATTTTATCTGTTGGGCAAATCTAGAATGAAGGGGACCAATCCTAAAACTGGAATGAAATTAGGAACCGTTTTCTTGCACAATTGAAATAGGAAGAAAAGTAGAAGTATAGATTTCTCCCCGCTACCCCCAACCCCCCCAGATCAAAAGACATGGTTGGTGGGGGAGAAAAATGAAGTTTTCAAGACTTTGATTTTTGATGAGTAAGGATAATGAAGGATTTGGAGCTAATATGGGTAAATGGAGTTGAAGTGCAAAGCTGCTATGATCTGACTGAATGATAGGACAAGATTGAGGGGCTGAATGGCCTCCTCTTCTTCCTAAGATGGTATTTTTGATAGGTATATACTGGCCGTCTGAATTTGATATGTGGATCTGTTATTTCAGTTTAATAATTAATGCAGGGCCTGGGACAGTGGGCACATCAGGACCCATTAATTAGGCTCTAAGTGGCATGCTGTGCTCGGGTTGGAGGGGGCGGTTGCTAGATCAGTGCTGGGGCCCTGTGATTTTTATCCCTGATCCCACTTTGACAGTGTTGCAATTCAATCACTTGTATTATCCTGTTGGTGTGCCACCAGGTCCCAGACCTTATGCAGCCATACAATGTACCACACGTTTTGTTGTGAGAGTTTAATGTTATAATATGCGTCAAAAAGGCTTAAACTGAAACTTGGAATGTTAACCTTTTAACAATTGCCCTTAGTGTATCTACGGAAAACCGGGTGACCATGTGTTCACAACCAAAGCTTGTGCGACAGTTTTGCACCATCAGCAGTGCCCTGAGTTCTACAATGAGGTAAATCAGCTCCTGTTTAATTTGCTGTTTAGAATGTGAGTCTACAAGCTTGTCCACAACTTCTGATGCTGGGTGTCCTATTGCTTTGTGTTTCGGTATTCTTATAGATTAAAATCGAGCTGCCTGTACATCTCCATGAGAAGCATCACCTCCTGTTCACATTTTACCACATCAGCTGTGACATAAATACCAAAGGCACAACGAAGAAACGGGAAATTATTGAGTCGCAGGGTAAGTGTGCAAACATGTGACTAAAAGTAATCCTGAAATTGTGCCTACATTGTCCTCTTCATCACTTTGAATATCATTACATGCTAAACTTGTTGTTTGACATGGGACCTGTTAGCCCACTGGGCTAGTGATGAAGAGGTTGAGAGCTCTAGTTGTGGCAATACATTTCAGTAAATCTCCAGACTTGGATTGATTTATTTGGCATTGAGCGGACTTGATAGAGATCTACAAAATTATGAGATGCACAGATGGGGTTGACGGTCAGAATCTTTCTCCCAGAGTTGAAATGTCTAATACTACGGAAAATGCGTTTAAGGTGAGATGGACAAAGTTCAAAGGAGACATGAAGGAGCAAGTTTTTTTACACAGAGATGTAGGTGGGACTCTGGAACACATTGCCAGGCCCCTTTATCCATACTCTCTGCATTTTGCCAGTCAGCCAATCCCTTATCTATGCCAGTACCTGCCCCTAACACCATGGGCTTTAACTTAGCAGCCTCCTAGTGGCACTTTGGGTCGCAAGCTTTCATTTGGACTCTTTCTCATCATCATATCCTCCCTCACCATTGAAGTAATTTTGTTTCCAATCAGTAAGGCTATTCTGCCTCCTCTGCTGTTTTCCCTGTCTGTCCTGTAAACTTTATAAACTGATATACTTAGTTCCCAGCGCCACTCATCCTGCAGCCATGTCTCAGTAATGGCTACTATATCGTAATCTCCAATTTGAATTTGTGCCTGTGGCTCAGTTAATTTATTTTTAATTTGCAAATGCAAATTCTTTATTTAATAGGTCCAAAATGTTATCTTAAAGCAGTATTGAAATAAGTAAGCTGAAAGTCAGGCAACCCCCTCAAGTGATTGTAGGATTCCGTACACTTCTCCCCCTTCAATGCTTTTGCTGCTATTTACTGTCATGCGCACAGGATTATTTTACTGTAATGTTAATGTAGACATTGTTTTATCCTGGGAGGCAGTGACTTACATTAATGTCCATCACACTTTCTAACAGCCTGTCTGTACAGTGTTGTCAATCCTCTGGTGCTTGGAGGAAGTTAATGAAAGTTTTAGAATGGTTACAGTTTTCTGTATTGTACATTCACTCACTCAGATGAGAAACATGCAAATAATGCTGACGGAGGGAATAAAGTATTGCATAGGGATGCAACAAGTCCTGAATAGGGTTAGAAGCAAAATACTGTGGATGCTGGAGATCTGAAACAAAAACAAGGTGCTACAGAAATTGTCCATTAGTAGAGACAGAAACAGTTAACTTTGGATTCCAAAATGACCTTCTCGTTCATATTGGATTTGCACATTTAACTGTTTCGCTCTCCACAAATACTGGATAAGATTGCATTTCTTCTGTGATTTTCAACTCAGTATCAGTGCAAACCGCTAAAAAAGGGATTGTTTTGCTTTGTTTTTGTTATATAAATTTGTCGCCATATATAGTGTCACATCTAACTTTCATATCTAGAGTAGAGTTAAAGACTTTCATCATCCTTATTAAATGTTAATCAGACTAGCTCACTTCTGCTGGACTGGTTTGCAATGTTTACACTGCTCAATAGTCTGAAAGTGAGGATGATGTCTTGTTTACTTTTGTTGCGTTGGTAGTGGAGAGTATGTTTTGGAACTTTTAAAATCAAAGTCTAAATGTAAGAAGGTAGTTTGGAATTTGGGGTCTTATTAATGTTGTTATATGCTGTTCCAGGGAGCCCAAATGCTACATTGTTTGTGATCAGGTTTTTTTGTACTTTGTTTAGTTGGTTATGCTTGGCAGCCATTAATAAAAGATGGAAGAGTGGTGACATCTGAGCAACATTTGTCCGTGTCGTCTAATCTTCCTCCTGGATACCTGGGCCATCATGATCCAGACAACAAGAAGGTGAGGTGTCCAGTGAAATAAAAGGAGCATGTGTAAGGGTTCCCTCTCTCCATTGCAGTAATTGTTGACGTTTCTGTTTGAGTATGGAATGTGCAGATATTTGCTTAACAATACTACAATGGGCTCTCCAATTTGCCTCTATTTAATGAGTTGTGTTGCTGAGTGGAGGAAAATGGTTCCTCTTTTCTTTGATCTCAGTGGGCAGTAGACAACCCTATCACAGGTTGATATGATCTGTGCCATGGACTGAGACTCTTGGCCTCTTTCACACTCTGATTATCTCTCACCTAGCAGCATTGGAGCAGAAGGCTGGATTGTCCATTTCTCTGGGGATTGGATTGAGCACTGTCCATTGCCCCAAAGAGACAGGGACCTAACCTTTTGGCTTATTGATGAGATGTTGGCACTTCAAGCTCCATGCATCCCACGTTTCCATCCATCTGCATTGTGGGTGGATGCTAGTTTCATGACAATAAACTGCTGTTTCCAAGAAAAGTCACTGTGATTTTGTTGGCTTTCCTGCTGTTGATATTGAAATCTTCGTGGAAGTCTATGCTGCTTGTGATGTTTTCCAGTTCCTGGAGCACAGTAGTTGTGCGATGATTGGCAGGCAGGACAACATGAGGCAATACTGCAGCCAGTCGATTGGAGTAAACTTGAATGTGCTCTTATAGCAGTGTTCAGCTACAGGACCTTAGGGCAGTGCAGTATTCTCCAGCAAAGTTGCCTCTGTTGGGCTCCGATTCCTTCTGGTTTTCCTTTAATATCTAGAGTAGACACCAATAAAATTCCATGGGCATATAAGCATAAGGACCATTGCATGACACTGCAGCAAATAGACAAAATGAAAAAATCACTAAGACCGGATTTAGTAGGTCATTCAAGGGTAACTGAAAGCTTAATTGAAAAGATGGATTTCGGAAGGATTCTTGACAATGGGAGGAAGAAGTACAAAGTTTTTGGGAAGGAGTTTCAGTAAATTGGACTTGAAACCTTTGAAGCTTCTTTGTACCTCCCCTGCACCACATCAATAGCGATGGACATGATGCAGGAATCAAAGAGCAAGCATCCTGAGAGGAGTATAGGGTTGAGGAATTCATGAGATGAGGATTCTAAATTTAACATTTGGGTTAGAGAGCCCGCATAGGTTAGTGAAGATGAGTGAGTGACGGGCAAGCAGCAGATTGGTGAAGTAAAGGAAACCTTGGTATAATCAAAGCTGGAGTGGCAAAGGAATATATAAGACGAATGGAGGGTTGAAATAGGCAAAGGTTGAGTGGAGCTGCAGGAGGAAATAGCCAGTCTCGCAATAGAGTTTAAAACAGCACTGAGGTCAAATACCAAGAATGAACTTCAGGTGTGATAATGGGGGCAATGAAGGAAAGGATAGACTCAGAGGTACAGTGGAAGTCCTAGATAATGGTGTTGTTATTTCTGATTCTGAGCTGAGGGAAGTTGTATCTCAGCTGGGACTTGATACAGACAGTGAAGACAGAACTCTGGATATCCAAGACTGGAATGTTGACTGATCTTTTCCAGCTTGGAGTTATTCCTTTTCATTTAGTTTTAGATTCTAAAAAAACATGAAAATAGTGAGAATAAAACACCAGTCTACTATTTAGATTTCTGTCTGGCGGGTTTTTAAACATAATTTCTGTTTGTCAGATTTATAAATACAGAACAGTGAATGAATTAGTTTTGGGTTCTGGTGAGGATAGTCTTCAGTAAGATTGCTAGAAAAGGCACATAATATCATTTTATAATCTGTGAGAAGACGGTGCTGATTGGATAGCGAGTGGTCTGTGATCGGTGGAGGCACATCCATGGAGAATGCATCAGTTAAATGATGACTGACCGTTAATTGCTGAGATTCATTTCAATTAAAACCAGGCAGGTTGACTCTGGTCAAGACAATTCCCTGAGGAATGAACTTGTGAAAGGCTGTTATTTATTGAAATCGGTGGAACGTATGTACATGTTCCTCCTGTCTGCCAAGAGGAATTTTACAGAACTATCAAAAAGAAAAGGACAGAGAGAATAGAGAAGATCAGGTGACACTCAAAGGTAATATTGGTAAGAAGAGACAAGCACAAGTGGGGGACATATCATTTGGGATGATTAAGAGATCCATACTGGGTTAAATAGCCACTCCATGGTAAGGTACTGTGGGAAAAAGAAAATATACTAAAAGATGAGAGGAACGTTTATCAATGGACATCAATGCAACACTGCGTGCTATTCATATACAACATCTAAACTAAGATAACATTTCAGTGGAGCACCGAGAGAGTGCTATGTTTTAGGAGATTCAAAAGAGGCTATGTAAAATACAGTAATTGAACAATGAAGAAACAGTTCCTGGTCAATATTCATCCTTCAACTGATGCCAAATGCAGGTCACCTGCTCACTAACCGCATTCACCTTGCTGTGGCAAACTATGACTATATATCAACTAACACCATTCCCTCTCACTCTTCTTGAGAGGCTGTAGTGTTTTAAATTGAATCATCATGATTGAGTTTATTAAAGCTTTTACTCCAGTAAATAGCCCAAAGTTCTTGATGACTCCTACCTCCCAATAGCAATGCTCATGTATTTTATCAGTGGCCTAAAAGCATGAAATCATATTATTCTTTAATCCCATTCTAAGTCCTTTTCCATGGAATTTCCATGTTGCTGATTACTTGGTTAAAATTAAGGTGTCTTTTGTTGACAGTATCACAGTTATTACTGTGCAGCGCTGTGTCATGTGAGAAGAAAGAGAGGTTGCCCAAGATAATGAAGAAATCAGCCAGGGTCATAATTGGGTCGGTTTCTGTAAACCTCACTGTCCTTTGAGACCACGGAAACCCTGCTTTAATATTACTGTAAATTTAATTAATTGGCAATTTAATGTGTTCAAAAGTAGTTCAATTCGTTATCATTTGCAGGAGCTGTGGTCTCCCAACTGCAGAACAGATGAACAAAACTATAAACACAAGATCAATATCAGTTACTGTAGTAACTTCTGATCTAAGATTTGGGCAGATTATTGAAACCAATAGCTGCTCAGAAGCCGAGAGTAGTTGTATTATAGTTTTTTTGTAATGTATTGCCTGAAATAAATGTCAACATTTAGTACTATGTCACAGACCTGCATTCACATAACCTGAGGAAGGGTCACCGGACCCGAAACGTTAACTGTGTTTATTCCTCCACAGATGCAGCCAGACCTGCTGAGCTTTTCCAGCAACTTTGTTTTTGTTCCTGATTTACAGCATCCGCAGTTCTTTTGATTTTTATTCACATAACTTGGATTTGGCATGGCTTTCATCCAAGGCTTGTGAATCTTCCCAGTTATTTGCTACTGCATGGAGATCACCAGGAACAGGGACTACAGCACGTGTCAGTTCAGTTACGATCCCAGTTGTGGCACTATTGATTGTGTTGGTCAGGGCATGAATGAGGTATCTAGCTGTAATCAGAAGGGTAGAGTAACTGCAGTTTTTCGGCTCTGCTGCATAATTGTGTTCTGTTGTGTCACTATTCCTCCTGACCCAGGGCCCTGGTTGAGTTTAGGTTGTGCAATATGGTTGTGCTCCAATATTCTTGCTCTCGCAGTTCTGTGTCCACGTATAGTCATGGCCCAAGAGTGTCTACTGGATGCTTGCCCATTGTGAGGGTTAGTGTATGGCAATCTTGGCCCAAATAGTCTATGGGATCCATGTCATATCAAAATATGAAGCTATCTGTAATGAAACAAACCTGCATGCAGCTTTTAGACCAATTTAATTGAAATTGAACCTAAATTCTCATGTTGTATTTTAATGGATGTCAGGGTCTGTACAGAAGGTCTGTTGAATATTCTAGTTGTCCAACAATCTTGATCACCAGGAGTTCAGATATCAACTCTGATGGGCAACATAACCTTACTCTTTCTGTGTTCACGACAGGGGCTACTAAGTAATGATCATGAGCACTCAATTTATTTTTCCTGTGATTCAGGAGCACTGAAGCAATTTGTTACTTTTTTCAAAACCAAATTGGTCACAGATAGGGTGTGTATCAAACCTAATACTGTCTCTCTCGGGTAATGAATATACTCAACACATTACGTTGTGGGTGGTACAGTGGCTTAGTGGTTAGCACTGTTGCCTCACAGCGCCAAGGACCTGGGTTCGATTCCATCTTTGGGCGACTGTCTGTGTGGAGTTTGCACATTCTCCCCATGTCTGCATGGGTTTCCTCGGGGTGCTCTGGTTTCCTCCCACAGTCCAAAGATGTGCAGGTAGGTGGATTGGCTATGCTAAATTGCACATAGTGCCCAGGGATGTTTAGGTTAGGTGGGTTAGACAAGGGAAATGCAGGGGTAAGGGAATGGGTCTGGGAGGGGTGCGCTTCAGAGGGGCGGTGTAGACTTATTGGGCTGAATGGCCTGTTTCCACACTGTAGGGATTCTATGATCTATGATGTTGCTGAATGAAGTTACAGTCCTATCCTACAATACTCTGGAGAGATTTAAGCATTCAGAACTATTCTAAATTCACAGTAAATAGTAATAAGTAAATTTACAGCAAGTTTAAAAAGTGGTGGTATTTGTTTGTATTTTCTTGCTGTTGTCCTTGTTGACGTGTCTCGGTGAAAATCTGACCTGTGATTTCAAAAGTCACATGCTGAAGCCTGATTCTGGAGCCTGAGCATGTAGAGTGCAGTGGGGTGACTGAGGAAATTTTGCATCATGTTTGATAAGGGATTTTAACACGGATATCATCTGTTACTTTAGAAGAACTATTAAAAAAGCCATGACACTCTTAAAACAGTCAATGAATTTGCCTGCTGTCCTGCAGGGGATCAAGATGTTTTATGTTTCAAAGTGGCTTCTTGAGATTTTCCCGAAGAATTTTGATTTTCCTGGGTTCCAGTTTGATTTTCAGGGGCTCCTTTGCTCGTTCTCATGTGATGCAGTCATACAGTAACATAACTTCATATATTTGTTTTCTTACAGTTTCCTTCTTTAGTTGGATAACAACATGTATCAACAAAACTTTAATTTCTCATGTGCTCAGAAGCAGACTCAATAGGAACTTTTAAAAGGGATACATATTTGAAGAAAAATTAGCAATGTAATGGGAAAGAGCAGGGTCGGGAACTAAGATAATTCTTTCATGGAATTGGTAGACATGATGGGCCAAATTGTCATCTCGTGCTAAGGAATTTATGAAATGATTACATCTGGTCTAATTTATTTTTTTTAAGTAGATTTGAAGTACAGTCACTTTGGAGACTTTTTTCAGATAGGCAGCATCACTTTGCATCTTTGATGTCAGTGAGATTCACACACAAGGTACAAGGGCGTACACTTATAGATTTAACCTTAATGGCAGGACATCTATCTTCTATAAAGTCAATAACCGTCCATAAAACCTTTTTCGTCGTAATGGGTGGTGTGAACAATGTTTTAACATCAAGGCTATTCTAGAAATACCTCGTAGGTGCCCAGAATACTGATTAGCAGTTTTTAATTTTTGTTTTAAATTGTAGTCTCCACAGATAGAGTGCCAGATATAAATCACAGTGGCAAGCTCAACAATGTATTAGTGTCTAATGTCATAATCCACTCGCTTCAATGCTCCTGGGTAAGAGCGAGGGGCAGTGGAATCCTTTCTCATTGAATGTGGTTAGAGGTCTGTGAACGTGAGAGAACCTCATGGTAACTGGTGGCTGTTGATCTCCCATTATTACAGGCCTGAGGCCTACCACCACCTACAAGCTGTCTCTCCCTCTCTCTACATAAGATTATGTGCTCACCTTCCCTTGCACACTTCCAATCACTTTGATATTTTAGCTCCTCTCTTACCATAGACGCAATGGCTCTGTCAACAAGAAAGCTTTATATTGAGGAGAAAATAAAAATGGGACTGATCTTTTCCCTGCTGGTTGCCTACCCTGACCCTGACCCTAACCTGTGAAGACATTCCTGATTGTGGCAGCGTTTGTGGTTGCCTGAATCTTGCTTCCAGCCTCATTACTGGGCCACTTCCTCCCTTGGTTTTTTTTTTTCCCCTCTCTGCTTCCTTTCCTTAGCCTCCTGGAAGGTGTAGATTCTCGGTCACAAGTCCCCTACTGATGGTGTTGAGTATAATTGCTCTACCATCTCCAATCACCACCATCGACTCTGTCTCTTGGAGATTGGTCAGTACAGAAGAGATGGAAGTTCTGATTGGTGGAGCAGCTTCTCACATATTCTAAATCCTTGATATATTGTGGGTGACTTTTCCCAACTTTTTTGCCATCATTTTGTTCTTTTTATGGGCTATTTTGAGACTCCTGGTGATGATTTCACCCTTTGCCCTGTGTACTTTGAATTCTGCATCCTGACTAACATTTCTCCCCCAACCAACACCACTGACGATACCTGTGCAAATGGTTACCAAGCCCACATGGCAATAAAACCCATTACAACAAACTAGCTCATTACACTCAATGTATTTGGAATATTCTGAAGCGCAATTTAAACACTGATCTCATTCTATTTTTCTTTAATTCTGCAGCACGCAATTCCTGATATTAAATGGGTAGATGGAGGAAAACCTTTATTGAAAGTTAAAAATCATTTGGTGTCCACCATTTACACAGAGGTAAGTAGATTTAATGACATTCAATACATAAATTCCTCTGCTGATACGTATATGCTGTGTACAGTCATGTACTATTCGAGTGACAATGTGTCCTGTTCTTGCGGTTACCATGTGTCTACGTGTAATTTCTGTTTTTTTTACAGGACCAGTACTTGCACAGTTTCTTCCACCATTGTCAAACAAGCCAATCGGCATCACAGGAGATCGCAGGTGACCTTGTGAAATACCTGAAGGTAGTGTATTCTGTACACTCACTTTCTGTGGTGTAAGTAATTGATTACAGTCATTCTGAGATAAAACCAGCTCAGGATGGGCTAATATGTAACAAACAGCATGGCTTAAAGCAAGCAAAGACAGTACTCAGGCAGTGTTGCTCCTGGATGAGACATCCTCTGCACTAGTTATGAAATGTAATGTCTCTCCTTTAGGCAAATCTGACTGAAGGTGGACTGTTTTTTTAACAAAGATTCAGCAGAGATCCCACATACTTTTGCTGCATTCAAGAAAGAGCCAGGTTCTAGTTTCATGATCTAAAAATACTTTTTTGTGAGAATGTATAGTGACACACGTCTTAAAGGAAAATAAAGAGCAGCCCATCGCACTGCAGTGGATGGAGTCAAGGCTCAGGAATGATTTAATTTACCAGCTGACTCCATGCCAAGTGCCACAAGGGGAAAGGGAGGAACACTTTCTGCTGATGCTGCGATTGTTGTAACTGAGGACCGGTTTTGACATTGCTTGCAGTACAGTCTCAGGAGTGCATGCCTGTTCTCTGTGACCAGTTTGTGGGTATTATCAAAGCTAGACAAAGGAAAGGGAACATTACTGGAATTGACTTGAACTGATATGATCGATTGTCTGAGTGCTTGTGTTAATGAGGACAGATGTGTGCTTTTGAATGCTCACACAGCATACACACACTTACTCCTTCAATTAAACTAATTGTTGTTTATGGCAACTTGCTGCAAATTATTACACAGGAAAATGATGCGTGCCATATTTTTCGACCCTGTTCCATAAGATCGTGTCTGGTTAACCTCAGCAGTGCGTTTCTGTTCTTACTCCATATCCCTTGTCACCTCTAATATCCAAAAATCCTTTGATCTCAATCTTGAATATACCTGATCCCTGAGCATCTACTGCTCTCTGGTACAAGAGGCCCAAAGGTTCACAACTCAAATATCTCCTTATTGTCACAGTCCTACATGGCTGACTCCTCATCCTGAGTCCTGATATCTAGACCCTGCCACCAGTCCTGTCAGCCTCTACCCTATTGACCTCTCAAAATAGTTCAGGCGTTCAAGTGAAATTGCCTCTCGTTCTTTTAAACTCCAGCAAAAACAGAGCTATTTTCTCAATCTCTCCTCACAAGGCAAGACCTTCACCCCATTTTTTGTCTGCAGGAATGCCGAGTTGTGAGTTCTGTTCAAAAGTGGGGCGCTTGAATTTTTTATTTCCAAATATCCATCTGACAGTTTCCTTAAGTTAGTGGAAATTATCTTTGTTTTCTTCACGCACATGACCAGAGCATTCAGCCCCAAGTCCATTGACTGCTCCTGTACTAGGACCATCTCTCAATTCTGGCCTTCCTGTAAACAAATATCTATAACTTTCATGCAAACTGTGTTATATCAAAAGCTCTGATGCTATCAATCAGCCTGTCTTAATTAGCCCAGAGTGTAGGATTAAACCCTAACTGCAGCGAACTGTGGGATCGTGTTTAATAGCGACCAAGATCGGTGAGTGGCAAAAATAGCCTCTTTATTGAGCATCGGCATTAGCACATTTCAGGGTAGCGATGGAATCCAAAGGACAGTTTTACAGTAGCTTCTTTTATACACTGTTGTTACATACATTAAAATTTTAGCATTATGGTGTCACATAGTTGCCTCTATTGTACATAACTTTGCATTACATCTGTCCTGGGGAAGCAGGAGATGGTTTAAGAACTTGTTAAATGCTGGCTGTTACTCCTGATGGGATTAGAGTATCTGTCCGGTCTGAGCTTGCATAATTAAGAGGTGTTATGTCTTTAAAATTAGTAATGTTAGTGAAAATACGAGATCGGTATGATCTAAATAAGTGAGAAATTATATGTGTACTAAATAAAAGTATTGAGGATATTAAACTGATCTCCCGCAGCTGGGTCGTGAGATTTCATTTGCTATTGCCAGTTTTGACAGTTCTTACACATTCATTCATGCAGGTTCACGGAAGCGTTGTTTTGATAGTAAATTTCTTAAAGGGTAGCACCCCTATTTAATATGTATTTAAAATGTACATACTAGTGGAGAAAACTGTTTTGATGTTCTGCAACCTATTCAGGTCCTGAGAGATGGTTGCTAAGGGCTAATTAATATTATAATCTTTCCGTCATTTCGAGTGAGTTATGGAGACACGATGGTGGGTATGACATTATTCTGAGTAGGTTACGGTATTAACACTTATTCAGGGGTAGCCTTTGATACAGAAACAAGTCTAAACGCTGCTTGCAGCATGGAGCTGGTAAGAATTGAAAGGTGTGAAGAAGGAGTAATAGTTTAGATGTGATACTTAATTGAGTTAAATGCGATTTTATGAATGAGTGAATGGAAACAAGGTATAGTAAACATAGTATGCTTGTGAGTAAGTTAGTAAAGAGTTATGAATGATTGAAACGTGATATAGTAAACATAGAGCGATTGTGAGCGAATTGATAAAGAGAACCATAATACAATACCTCACAGAACCATATTGGAGAACACAAGAAGCCCCCAACTCTCTGCTATCAGAGAATCAAAGGTTAGCATATCGCCACTCACAGGAATATAGAAAATAGAAACAGAAGTAGGCCATTCAGCCCCTCGAGCCTGCTCTGTCATTCAGTGTGATTATGGCTGATCATCCACCTCAGTACCCTGTTCCCGCATTCTCCTCATGCCCTCTGATCTCTTTAGCCCTTCATTTCAAGATACACCAGCCAAAGCATTGGGTCATGTTCGTCACCAGTTGCAAAGTGATCTGTGACGTTGCAAAAACCACTACAAAAATCCAGATTCTTTGTTACACACAATATGCATGCACCTTTAAACACGCATGCTTAGGAAAATATGGATTCACAAACACAAGGAATAAAAATGTACACCCCAGCACACTCACCCCATATATATGTACACAGACACAAAACAAATCACACAACTCCAGCTATAGAAATAAACATTTCTGTTACATTCAGTCAAACTCGTGAATGGTCCAACCATGTGGCTTTGGTAGTTCTAAAAGAAACAGAATATGAAATTCATCATGAGCTGACGAAAAATGGTTTGTATGTAAACATAATATTTAATAGCAGTTTTGTTTTCTTTCCCAGATGTACTCGAGTCCATATGTGGGAATTCCATTTGCTTAGTTCACTCGTCCAGACAGATTGGTTAGTGTCAGTCAGCATGATCCTTCTGCAATTTCATCCTGTGGAAATTGCAGTTGGTCAGTGGTTGGTTCAGGGTGAACCTCGGCATGGTCAACAAATGTGTCTGTCTGCTGCTCAGTCAGTGCTCTCTTTGATTTTGCTGTGACCACTATATCCACTCCATTCAATTCAAAATCCTGCTCTTTGTTTATGATTCCCCTTCTTCCTTCTTGCATTCCATCTCCTCTGCAATCTCTTTCAGCAGCCTGAAACCCAACACTCCAATGCCAACTTGCTTTATGCTCTTCAACCCATCCCTCTCGCCCAATCCTTACCACCCCAATTACAAATAATCATGGCCCGACTTTGTTTTGTCAATCCTACTCATTGAAATTCTATCCCTAAACTTCTTTTAAAAATAAAAGCATTTGCAGGATATCTACACTACTGGCTTGGCCAGCAATTGTCATCCATTCTTGGTGTCATGGTGTAACACAGCATGGAAACAGACGCTTCGGCCCAAACTGGTCCATGCTGACCATGGTTGCCCACTCGGCTAGTTCCAATTGCCCGCATGTGGTCCGTATCCCTCTAAACCCTTCCCGTCCATGTACCTATCCAAATGTTTATTACATGGTGCTATTATACCTGCCTCAACCGCTTTGTTTGGCAACCTATTCCATATACGCACCAATCTCTGGGAAGATGTTGCTCCTCAGGACCTCCTTAAATCTTTCCCATCTTACCATAAACCTATGCTTTCTAGTTTTCAATTCCACATCCCTGGCAAAAAGACTGTCTGCATTCATCCTATCAATGCTTCTCATGATTTTATACACCTCAATAAGGTCACTCCTCATTCTCCTACATCCCAAGGAATAAAGTCTTTTCCTGGCCAACTTCTCCCACTGACTCAGGTCTACTAGTCCTGGCAACATCCTCGTAAATCTTCTTTGCACACTTTCCATTTAACTAGGTCACCCTGTTATAGGAAAGACAAAAACTGTACACAATACTCCAAGTGCGGCATCACCAACGACTTATACAACTGTAACATAACGTCCTAACTCGTATGCTCGATGCCTTGACCAATGAAGGCTAGCATGCAAAATGCCTTCTTCACCACCCTGTCAATACTTACTTGTACTTGTACTCCTAGGTCCCTCTGTTCTGCAACACTGCTCAAGACCTTACCATTTACTGTATAAGTTCTACCTTGGTTTGACTTTCCAAAGTACAACACCTCACACTCATCTGTATTGAATTGCGTTTGCCAATCCTCAGCCCACTTCCCCATCTGATCAAAATTTCTCTGAGATAGTAAGAACTGCCGATGCTGGAGTCTGAGATAACGCAGTGTGGAGCTGGAGGAACACAGCATGCCAGGCAGCATCACAGGAGCAGGAAAGCTGACGTTTTGGGTCAGGACCCTTCTTCAGAAAA